CCTGGGCTCCCTCTTCTCTTCCTCTGCAGCTCTACCCTGCAGAGCACCCAAAGACCTCCGAGAACCATCACTAAGTCATGACAGCAACCGGCACAAAGACTTCTAATACTCCTTCTCTCTATTGTCATTTCTACTATAAATTACATATAACTAGAATAGAAATCAACGGGTATTTACATTACGTTACCTCCTAGGGCCAATATAAACCTGTGTTTACAATATTTTGCCATAGGAAACAGGACTACAGCAGTCGGCGATTCCCACACCAGTTTCAGATCGGAAACAGGCGAAAGCGCCATCTATTGGCGGAGGCTGTAGGTGTTTTCAAGCCTTAAACCCGACAATATATTGAAATCAGTTAGAGCATCTTAACGGCGTTTATATATTTCTACTAGTATGTACTCCTGTAGAAGGGAAGAGATTCCCGAAAGCTTGAGATCACATTTAATAAAGATAAAGAAACTCATCTCCAGAAACCTGTAGCATTTGTTTGAGTTACATGCCATTCTTTAACTATGATTCCATCATTCATTGTCGCATATATAAGCAGAATCGACCAATATAGCATTATAGCTTTAAAAAAGTGTGGTAGATTAAACTGGCCAAACGCTGGGAGGATTCAACACTGATGTACCAGGCCTTCCTAATATTTGTTATCGTAGTAAACTGCCACTGTACCTATGAAGGCCATAGACTGAAACAATGATATACAGGTTGGATTTTGTCTGAATTTGAAAGTAGAGTCAACACGAGTTTTAGGAAATTCAGACTGAAGCCAACCTGTATACCATGGTTTCGGGCTATGAGCATCATCAGTAGAGGGATGACTTCATCAGCATAAATGGCAGAATGCCCTAACACCCCAATGTGCAGAATATGTGGAGTTCAGGGAGTTCATGATTGCTCAGGAATTCCCAAGTGTTTTAATTGCTCTCAACATCCTAAGTATAGAAGCAAGCCCTTATCACACAGAGCAAATTCGGAGGAATGTCCATTGTATAAGGCACAAATAGACAGAATAATCGAAAGAACAAGTTATTTCCCAACTGAACAATCAGATAACTAACTCATACGAGTCAGGAAAGTATAAAATGCAAGCCCCATTAATTAAGTGTGTGCAACAAAATTTAAGAAAAAGCATAAACGCAACAAATGAGCTCCTGGCTCAGATAGCTAACGACCCACCAGACATATTATTTATTCAGGAGCCCTACACAGTGAACAATGTTGTTATTTTTGGCGGAGACGAGCATTCAGTTTTAACAGCAAAAGGAAACAAGATAAACTCGGAAACAATAATTTTAAATAAAGGATTAAAATACAATAAGATAGATCAATTCACCAACTCATTTTGTACTACAAGCTCAATACTTTTATCAAAGTCAAATATTATTGCAGCGAATTTTTACATTCTACCCAATTCTTTTTCGGAAACCCATCAAAAGTTTATTGAGGAAATTTTGGAAACCTTCAAAATTCAACCGATTCTGCTTTGTGGGGATTTTAACTCTAGGCACCCCGTCTGGTATGATCGAAAGACAAACTCAAATGGTCACAAACTTCATTCAATAGTGAACCAACACAATCTCTTCGTCCATAATATTAAAACTACAACGTGTCGTAATTCTTGCGTGATCGACCTCACTATCTCCAACAGAAATTCAATCAGTCTATTAAAAAACTGGAATACATCCATAATGACGGACACCTCCGATCACGTGACAATAACCTACGAGATCGTTAGTAAAGACAACAGTCATATAAACGGTTATAAATCAACGTGGAAATTCAGCGAAACTGACGCAAACTGGAATGCATTTTATGATAAATTTTCCTCCCCCGAATTGCTAAGCCTCGTGGATGAAACTAACCAAATAAAAAATTCCGAAAGTGTAGATAGAGCTGTTTTAAAACTCACAGATATTATCAGTGAAGCAGCTTATGCGTCCCTTAAGTTAAAACCAACCATAAACAAAATCAAAGTCAAATTTAAGTGGTGGACGAATAAACTTGAAAAAATGAAAAATGATTTTAATTATATAAGAAATTTATTCTATCGCGCGAGGCAAAATAATTAATGAAAAATTCTTTAAAGCTGCTCGTAATAAATATAATAAAGCCATTAACAAGGCAAAACTTAAAAGCTGGAGATTCTTTCTCGAAGAAAACGAATCAACTAATCCATTTGGGAACACTTATAAAACTTTCAAAACCTTAAAAGCATCATTTAACACAACAGGGATTCCATTGATAGACAATGCACCGGATTTTGCTAGGACTTCAAAAATGGAAAGTTTATTGAACGATCTTTTCCCGGACGATGATATTTCTTCCGAGGAGGTACTTCACAAAGCAACTAGATATTACTCGCCAATCTACAATAATAAAAACAAAGTGATCATAAGCCTAAAAGATATCGATTCAATTATTGTATTATTGAAAAATAAGAAAGCACCTGGATCAGATAATATTAGCAATAATATGATAAAATACGCCTACCCTAGGATTTCCATAATCCTCCATCAAATATTTGAAAAATGTATAAGTTTGGGATATTTCCCAGATTATTGGAAAAACTCTTTTGTGAAAATCATTCCTAAAGGAGATAAAACTAGTTATGATGTTAGTAAAAGCTACAGACCAATTTCCTTACTATCTAACATTTCAAAAATTTTCGAACACGTAATTAAAAATTTTATGACGAAAACAATTTGATGAGTCATAGACAACATGGCTTCTCCAGGCATAAATCAACAATTACTGCTATGAAAGAGCTGACTGAAACTATTCTGGAACACAAGCAAAGAGAACTGACGGCGTTGATCGCAGTGGACTTATCAGGGGCTTTTGATAATGCATGGTGGCCAGCTATAATAAAAAGAATGGATTTAGACAACGTTCCCAGCCCTCTGATTCAAATCATCCAATCCTATTTGAATAATAAAAGGACAGTTTGTCTGTCATACGGTGGCAAAACGGTCTCCAAAAACCTTACTAAGGGATGTCCTCAGGGTAGTCCACTGTCACCGTTATTATGGAACATCTTGCTAAACGATATTTTAATGAATTTTAAATCTACAAAAGCTGAAATTATTTGCTACGCGGACGACATCTCTATTGTATGTTGGCATTATAATTTAGAGGGTCTAAAAACTGAGTTAGTGAACACCCTAAACTATGTCACTCAATGGTGTCGCTCAAACAAGTTAAAAATAAATCCAGAAAAAAAAAACTTGATTCACTTTCACAATTTCCATAGGTTCCAGCTGGAATTTCAAAAAACCGTCATAAAGCCTTCAAATGAAATCAAAATTTTGGGAATGAAATTATCTAATCATAGGTTCAAAACAAAAATAAATTTCACTACGCACATCAATGAGATTTTGCATAAGGCGCATCGCATGAAAAATCTGCTTTTTTCCCTCAGCGGCAAAATATGGGGTATAAACTCTAATAAAAGGTTAATTTTGTATAAGACGCTAATTAGAACTATTCTAACATATGGAGCTGAAATTTGGTTTTACCAAATAAATAACCGCTGTAAACAGAAATTAAATTCGATGCAATACCAAATTGTTCTTTGGGCTACTAGATCGTTTAAAACATCTTCCTCAAATTGTGTCCACTGTCTGGCAGAGATCCCATTCCTGACTGATTTTATCGAATCAAGATTGATTAAATATGAATTGGACCAACTAAGCGAGGAAGACCAACGAACGTTTAGTCCACATTCTCCTTCAATTATGAAAGGATTTTTGAGAACAAGAATGGAAGATATGTTTTCTAATACAAGTGATCACTTTCGTCTCTTTTTCCCTTTGGGCATTCCAAAATATTTCCGCCCTGACTTTTACAATGTGCAATTCGTTACTGGTCATGGAAATTTCGGAGATTTTCTGTTTCGAATAGGAGCTATAGACGATCCGGGATGTTTATGTGGAAAGAGAAAGCAGGATTCCAGTCATCTGCTTCTTGAGTGCCCAATCTTCCAGAACTACAGAAACCGAGAAAACATCGAATACAAGGATCTTTTTATGTTCGTAAATAGTAAGGACTCGTATTTTAAATTTAGAAAATTCTGTAAATATATCTATGATTTTCTCTCTTGGTTAAAAAAACCTTAATTATTACCTATTTGTATATATGTATTTTTTGGTTTGTTTATTTTGTTGGTTGTGATGTAAAATCAAGAATGATTTTAATGTCCTCTTTCTTATCTTTTCAAATCTTGTAATTATTTATTTTTTTTATGTAATATAGTATCTGAATTTAGTGTTGTTATTGACGCAAGCATCCCTTGTAGGGATATCGCGTCTGATTTGATAAATAAATAAATAAATAAACACCTTTATTGAGGGGAGTTACTCTTTCTTCTCAATATAGATGCTGTCTCTCTTTACCTTGAGAGACGACCTAATGTCCAGCTACTTGACCAGCTCGGTAACTTCAAGGAAGAGGCTCTAAGGACGACTATCAACCATCCAAAACTTATCCAAAACGGTCAATTTATACATTCAAAGAACTTTTCATATTTTTTTTCTTTTAGTTTTAAATTATAAAAATATTTACATAAATAAAGTTGACTACTCTAGTGGCCGTAACAACCTTTATTTCAAATTTGACCAATTTCTTAACACTTCTCGTAGGATGTATCGAAATCAAAGCTGCCACTGTACCTATGAAGGCCATAGCTCGAAACTATATGTTACGCGTTTTTTATGACTACCATTACGCTTTTTTATACCTGTGATAAGGGAAAATGAACTTTTTTAATGCCTATTTAAAGAAAAAGGTGCCTCTTTTGGTAAACATTCATGTGTGTTTCTACTGTCCTCAAAACTTATATGACTACTATCCGAATGACCCGGGCAACGCCCAGGTTTTACCCGATTAAATGCTTTTATTCAAATACTATTCGAAACAATTATAAATTGGCGCCGTGGATGTCATTCTTGTATAATATATAAATGAGTATTAAAAATTGTAAAAAAAAAAAAAAATGCATTGGCCGGGAATCGAACCCGGGCCGCCCGTGTGGCAGGCGAGCATTCTACCACTGAACCACCGATGGTTATGAGAAACAGCCATATTTGGGTATTTATTCCATTCACAAAAGCAAACGGTGACAGAATTGATAAAGAAAGAATTGATTATGACGCTGATAACTGTATAATACAATATTGTTTACTTGAATACTATAAATATGATTTACCATTACAGGTGTTCAATATATTGGAAGAATCGTCTAATACATTATTAGAGCTTTTATAGAGAGGTATCGTAGATTAAACTGGCGAAACTGCTGGGAGGGTTCACCACTAATGAGATAGACCCTCCCATCCTTAATAGTCTTAATTCTTTAAAAAAGTTTAGATCCCATTTCACTATATTCTAATGACTTTAGTGTTTAAAGTAAAAGTAAATCCAATTCCATCCAAATAAGAGCCAAAATAACTTCAAACAAACCCTAAAAAAGTGTCTTTGATAAAAACGAGCCGAGTTATCAGGTATTGATTTGATCTGCCGTGGCCTTCATGATTATCATGGGATAGGAGATAAGAGTTCTACCTCGCCATGTAAATACGGCGACCTTGACCTATCTCACAGCCAATCTACCTACATTTACAGTAATGGACACATACACACTTTTGAATGTAATTTGAATGTAATTCTACTGTCCTATATGCTTATCCCATAGTTTTCTTGAAAACCATTTCTGAGATTCTACCATTTATTGCTGCGTATATAAGCAGAATCGTCCAATACAGTATTAGAGCTCTGAGAAACAGTCTGGTGGATTAAATTGGTGAAACCGCTGAGAAGGTTCGCCACTGATGAGTCAAGCCCTCCCAATATATTTTTCATCGCAGTAAGGACAGTAGAAGTTTGTATTGTGTATAAAAAAACATTCGTGCTTTTAAATCCTTTCATTTTATACATACACACTTATTTATACAACAATGATTTACGGGGAGATGGAACTCATGTAACAAAAGAGGTTACCTTTCCTTTATAAATTTATTAAAACCATAAAATAATAATATGGATTATATATACTATGTACAATGAATATGGCGCCTCTGCCAGCGCTGCAGAGTTTGGTGGAGAATCGCCAGTGGGTCTCCAGCGACACCACGCATTAAAACCATATATGTTTGTTAAATACCCAGTACAGAAAGTTATGGTAGTGATCAATAGCTCTCCATGATATACAAGCCATATAACATTGTTATACAAGCTCTAAAATGTCCCTAAGGAAAATTGCTCTAAATTTAGACAAGTTTCACAGAGACCCACAAGCCACCTTCCAGTGGATCCCATCCCATATAGGACTGAAGGACAATGACACAGCAGATACAATTGTAAAATCAGCAGCAATACCTAACTTAGACCTTGATTTTGACTCTTTCAAACACGTACAAAAAAAAAAACATCCAGGAAAAAATACAGCAGTCAACATTCAATCATTAGTATCTGAACCAAAAGCCTGGAACTATTCTGGAATGTGGGATGAACCGAAAGGCAGATAACTGTATTTCTAGGCTCAAAACTGGTCATACAAGACCGCTCCACTTCCAGAATGATATAAAGACATTCCCACAATGTACCATCTGCAGGACCAAAGAGGTCTCATCAGACCAACTCTTGGAATGTATGGAATCCTCAAGAAAGAACCTATATTCCAACCCTACCAATATTGTGAATTTGATCTATGAATTTAGTCTCCATGACTTTGTATAGTTATACAATAGGGTAATTTTAAAAATTGGTAGTGTTGAAAAATGTACCACAACATCAGTTTCAGAGCAAATTCAGACTGAAGCCAACCTGTATACCATGGTCGGGCTATGACCATCATCAGAAGAGGGATGACTTCATCAGCATTAACACCTTTATTTAGGGGGTTAGTCTTTATTCTCAATATAGATGCTGTCTCTCTTTACCTTGAGAGACAACCTAGTGTCCAGCTACTTGACCAGCTCGGCAAATCCAAGGAAGAGGCTCTAAGGACGACTATCAATTGTCCAAAACTTATCCAGAACTCATCCAAAACTATTTTTATTGAAAAACACGGTTAATTCATACATTCAAAGAAATTTTCATACTTTTTTTCCTTTTAGTTTTTAAATTACAAAAATATTTACATAAATAAAGTTGACTACTTTTTTAGTCTTAACATCTTTATGACAAATTTGATAGATTTCTTAACACTTCTCGTAGGATATGTCGAAATCAAAGCTGCCACTGTACCTATGAGGGCCATAGCACGAAACAATGATATTCAGGTTGGATTTGTCTGAATATGTTAAAGAGTATATGTTACGCATTCTTTATGACAATCATTACCCTTTTTTTACTAGTGATAAGCAAAAATGCACTTCTTAATGCCTATTTAAATAAAAAGGTACCTGTAGCAGTTGGAAAAAATGTTGTACAGTAGACTCTCCTATAACGCGAGTTTTTACAACGTGATTTCGTACAACGCGATAAAAAAATTGCCACAAATGTATTTATACAACGCGAATTTTCGTATAACGCGCTATAAAATAAAACAATTTCCCTAACAACATTCACGTTATACAAGTTTTATTTCGTTCCACGCGAATTCCTATAACGCGATTTAACGTTATAGGAGAGTTTACTGTAATTGTTATAATCTAATTATGATGTATAGATAAATATATCTTTAATTAAAATAAAAAATAAATTACTCTATGAAATGTAAATAAAAAATGAGTAAATTTTTTGAATAGCAATAATACTATATATGTTTAGCTTGCTATAGTTTTATATGGATGAAAAAGAACAAGATAATTGACATGTATATAATTTAATAAATAAATGCTTCATTTAACCAATGGTGAATGAATTTCTGATTCTGAATCCCTGATAACACTTAAATACCTCTTTTGGTAAACAATCATGTGTAGTTTTACTGTCCTCAAAACTTATATGTCTATATAGATTACTTGAATACTATAAATATGAATCACCATTACGGGTGTTCAAGATTGGCTGACGCCGATCGTCGCCGTTTGCTGCCGCCGTAGTACCTTTTTAGCGGTAAAATTGTATGTAAACAAACATTCAACTGTCGAAATTCGAATTTTAAAATGGTCGAACTATTGAAACTGTCGTATTATTGAAACTGTCGTATTATCGATACTGTCGAATTACAGTTTGTTATTTGATAGGCCAGAGGTTGGGACAACAGAATATGGTAGAATTTAAGGTAGGATGTCGAATTTGCGTGTGTCGAATTAACGAGGTTATACTGTATATACATCTCTCTAGATGAGATACCTGTAGTACTTCATGTACTACGTAGTAGTACAAGTCTCTTAAATCTTCTAATTGCCTTTTGTATAAATATATGTGAATATTAAAAATAAAGAAGGCATCTCCTGACCACGAGCACATGTGCTTTTTAGATGGCAGAACGCCATCTAGTGGAGCAAAAATAAACTAAACGTTTATTTAGCTTGCTCCGTGATATTTGGCCAACCCAATTTCTTGATAAATCAAGAAAAGCCATCCACGAACGCGTTTCGCGCTGTTGGCGCTCGTCAGCGTGGAGTAGGCTGTTACCACTGCGACCAAAAAGATTTTTGGGGCCAATGGCTTCCCGAGAAATCAAGAAATGGGTACGCGTTCGTGGATGGCTTTTCTTGATTTATCAATAAATTGGGTTGGCCAAATATCACGGAGCAAGTTAAATATAAACGCTTAGTTTATTTTTGCTCTACTAGATGGCGCTCTGCCATCTAAAAAGCAAATGTGCTCGTGGTCAGGAGATGCCTTCTTTTTTTTTTATATCAACACCTGACCCACTTATCTTCTATTTTTTTCTATTGTTTTTTCATATGTGAATATGTATAAGCAGAATCGTCCAATACAGTATTATAGCTTTTATAGATAGGTATCGTAGATTGAACTGGCGAAACCGCTGGGAGGGTTCACCACTAATGAGATAGACCCTCCCATTGTTTTTATCATTGCAGTAAAGATAGTAGAAATTGTTTTAATTCATAATAATCATATGCGTCGAAAAAAGGTTTATATTTCTTATGGTTTTGTATATTCTTCGCATTTTGTTCAACTCATAGAATACTTAAGCATTCCCTATCTTTTATCAAAATTCGAAACTATTTTAAAAGCGTATGATTCTTTTTTTTAATTGAACAATTTCTACTGCCCTTACTGCGATGGAAAAATTATTTGGAGGGCCTGGCTCATCAGTGGTGAACCCTCCCAGCGGTTTCGCCAGTTTAATCTACCATACCGCTGTTATATTGCATTTTTGGAACTTCATTTTATAGTGATACTGATGCTAGACTCTTGGAATGGGTATTTTAGGTGAACTATGGACATAAGCTTTCAGGACAGCAGAATTATATATATTTATAAATATATAATATGCTTCGAGCAATCGCTCTTCCGCAAATATCAAATTGTGTCTTTTATTAGAACATTTATAATATGATGCACTAGCGCGCCATCTGTTATCAAAATTCGAAACTATTTTAAAGGCGTAAGATACCCTATTATATGTAAATCTTTCTCTAGTCAAGGGGTCGGTAAACTGCGGCTAGCGAGCCACATGCGGCTCTTTGGATGTGAAGCTTTGGCTCTTTATATAGTTCCATACGTAAATATCACCTTCTTCACCGCTAGACAGCAGACAATAAATAATGTTGTAGATCTATATCAATTTGTAAATAGCAGAGAGAATTATCACAGATTTAACTATTTTTGTAAATATATTTATGATTATATCTTTCTAACCTGAAAGGTTCAGGTTCCTAATATATATTATTGTTTCTTTTTTTTATTTCTGATTATCTTTTCTTGTATAATATGTTTATAACTGTTTCTGCTTTAAAAAATGTAAATCGACGCAATTATCCCTAGCCTGGATATCGCGTTTTATGTGTTGAAATAAATGATAAATATCATTTATATGTGTATTATTCATTGATGACAAGAAAAACAAAATTGTGGCTCTTTGAGAAATGTGAAATTTTGTTATTTGTAATTTTCGACTCTTCCGACTCAAGTTTGCCGACCCCT